AAATTTGACGACATTGGCAGAACAAGTCTATGGCAAGTGATACATAACTTGGGTTTCAAATTTCAACAATAGGATAACAGAAAGGCCATTTGTGAAAGAAGTTCTGTCGTGCACAAGAGAATTAACTTTCTAATAAAATATTCTAAATTTAAAGAAGAAGGGGCCAATTTTATTTATTTAGACGAAACATGGATATTTTCCAAGATAATATGGCAAGATGATAACGTAAAGTCCATCAAACATACCGATGGAAGCGACACATAATTTTACATGCAGGAGGCAAATCGAATTTTATAGAAGGTGCTGATTTATTATTTTCATCTAAATCAAAATCCAGTGACTATCACGATAATATGAACACAGAAATGTTTGTAAAATGGTTGCATGAAAAACTTCTCCCAGGTTTAAGTGAGTCCAGCGTAATTATTTTAGACAATGCACCTTACCATTCTGAAGTATTAAACAAAAGTCCAACGAATTCTTGGACTGTTGATAAAATTAAAGAATGATTGACAAAGGAACATATACCATTTCCTTAATATATATTAAAATCAGAATTATTACGCTTGGCAAATATACACGCAAAACCAAAAATCTTTGTTGTGGATCAGATTATTGAAAGTTACGGTCATCAAGTTTTTACGTCTGCCACCGTATCATTGCCAGTTTAATCCCATCGAATATATATGGGGAATAGCAAAACAATATTATGACAACCATATTGGGCCTAATGGTTATAGTGACGACACAGTTCGGGAAACTTGGCGAAAAGCACTTTCAATTGCAACTCCAGAAATGTGGCGGAACTGTACATCCAAGTGCGAGAAACTAATAGAAGATTGGTGGACTCGTGAAAATAAAATAAACGAAATAAGTCCAATCATAATAACAATTAATGGTGATGACAGTGATGATGATGACGATTATGATATTTTGGATGATAATGACTGATTTTCATTTTTTCATTTTTGTTGGCAAGTTCAATTTTTTTATTTTTCATTTGAAATTCTCAACATGGAACAAATTGTTGTTAGAAAATATTTTATTTGAGCTAAATAACCCTCTTATTATACATAGACCATATTTTCTGTGTGAACTGTAATATAAAATTATTATTAAGTTTATAATAGCCACATTAGACTCCATTAATAAATAAGTTTAATTCTGCTCTCAATTCTCCAAATTAAATATTCTCCATTAGTATTTAATTAAAAAGTTGTACATTATTTTTCATTTCATTTAACCAGTTGATATTTCCCCAAAGAACAGGTCAAACTTTCGGGTACTTACCTGGAAATACTCATAAAATTTTTAATCCGAAACCCGCGTAAGTATAGCGAACAGACTGTACTGTGTTAGATCCTATCCTCTTTATTATTTATCTCAACAATATTCTTACTTATTCAAGTGCGGGTGATTGATAAGCTTTGCAGATGATACGGCAATTGTTTACTATGATAATACCTGGACAAATTTAAAAAAAAAATGAAAATGATTTAAAAAATATACTCAATTTATTTAGTCATAAATTACTCACCGTTAATTTCGTGAAAACTTACTTTGTGCCTTTTTCTAACAATGTTAGTACAGTACCTAATTATGATATATTAACAATAGAAAGATCAAACTCTAAAGTGGACATTACCGCTAAAAAAATGTTAAGTACATGGACTGCATATAGATTATCATCTTAGATTTGACATTCATATTGAAAATGTAGTTAAAGTTCTGAGGACATTACTGTACAAATTTAGGTATTTTAAAAATATTATAGATCCTTGTCATCTCAAAACTATTTATTTAGCTTTGATCGAATCTAGGTTAAGAGGAGCTGCCTTTTGTTACATAAAAAAGTTTGATGTACTTCAGAAACGGTTTTTAAAAATAATATTTAAGAACAAACTTACATACTCGTCCAAACTTCTTTTTTCGGAAGCAAAATACTTGATATTAGACAGTTATTTATGCACCAAATAATTATTTTTGTTTGTAAAAACAAAAACTTGTAAATCACCATCACAAAACAAGATATAGAGAAAATCTTAATGTACAGACACAATTTTTAAAAAGAAATGTTAGTATCCAAACATATTCACACCAAATGAGTAAAGTATTCAATAGTCTCCCCGAATTATATAAAATGTACCTTCTCAATATAAACTCATTAGAATTAATTAAAAAACGTTTTAAAACATACATTATAAACTTAGGAAGAGAAAATGTTCACCACTTGTTAAGTCTCTAATAAATATTTTTTATTAGTTTTTTTAATTTTGGCCTCTAATAATGTTCTTTTTTACTGTCGCGTTTTTGAGTTTTTGATAATTTTTAATAATTTTGTGTATAAAAATATATTAATGTTAACACATTCAATCATGAAAATATATTCGTTCATGCAGTCTTTTTGGCTTCTTATGGATGAATTCACACACATGTTTATTCAAAGATTTAATTTAACGTTCTTTGAACATAGCATATTTAAAAAAAAAATTGTAAAAAAAAAATTTATTAAAAAAAATAATTAAAAAAAAATAAAAAAAAATAAAGAAACAAAACAAAAAAAAATAAGAACACAAAATGTATATATAATATATAATAAAAAATATTTATATAATAAAAAATATTTATGTGTAAATAGGTATTTGTAGAACTTATAAATGTACAAAATGAGCAAAATCGACAAAATCGGAAAAATAGGCGAATGAACTGAATGTTCGTAGTCACACAATCCAAAGCAAAAAAAAATTTAACCATCGTATTATTGTGGCTGTTATTATTTTTAGTATTATTAATATTATAATTATTTTTATTAATATTATTAATATTCTTATTTATATTATGTATTGTTTTTATATCTATAGTTATTATTATTGAAACGAATTTAACTAGAGCTTGCACACTTTGGTTTAATTGAATTTAAAAAGAACCTTAGAGAATATTTTGAAAAAATAGTGGAATAAGTCAAAACATTGCCGCCAAATATCTTGTATAAAAATGAGATATCAAGAGTTCGCAAAGAAAAACAGTTTTTTGATGAAGAATCGACACAACATGTTATTGCAAGAATTTTAAAATATGTGATATATTAATCACAGAATTGAAAATTAGAATGAAATCGTATGATTGCGTTAACAAAGTTTGTGGTATTGAGATGAAAGTGTTAAAGAGAATTTAATAATATTATTTTATTGCATGTATGTTGATGTTAATAATGATTTAGTGGATTATCTTGTACAATTTAAAAATCTTTGTATATTGAATAACATTTCTGTAGAACTACAAAAAATGTTAAAGTTTTAAACAGACACCAATATTTTGTCTACTTTGTCATATATTAAAATATTGTTACGTGTATATTTAACAATTCCTATAAGTAATGCATCTGACGAGAGAACTTTTTCTACGTTAAAACGGACAAAATCCTATTTGCGCAACTAAATGAAGATACTATTTTAACCTTAGCGATTTTAAATGTTTTAAGCTATGTTCTAGATAGGTTAAAATAAATAGGATAATATTAATGGAATTTTTTTGTTAAAATTTCTTATAATTTTAGTTGCTTTGCCAGTGCAATTTGAAAGGTTTAGTTTTAAAACAAATTACATTAGTTGTTTTGTTATTTGTTTTATGTATTTTAAATACATATATTTTTATATGTTTTTTTTTTATAAAATTCCTAATAAAATGAAGCTAAAATTAAGTCTTCGAGGTTCGAGGTACTATTTTACACTCGACTATATGGAGTCCGAGAATTTACTATATAGAAGGCTAGTGTCCAACTAATTAAAAATAGGCCTTGCTGACTAGAAAATCCGTGAGGGGTAGCAAATTGAAAGAAAAACTAAAAAAGCCAAGTCAAGAAAGTCAACATTGTAGGCTTTGAAATGAAGCAAAATAATCAAAGTTTTTTTATTATTTTCCAACAACTCGAGCAATAAATCAAATCACCTTAATAATATTAATCCTAAAAAGGAATTTAGCTTATAATATGGTTTATTTGTTTTTCATCTGTAATAATAAAAATTGGGCAAATTTGGAAGTATATCCAATTTTTATTTGTTTTTTATTTGAATCTGCTTGATTCGATGCAAATAAAATGTTTTCGTTTATTACTTAGCTTTACTCTAGGTATATAAAAATATCCATAGTCAATAATTATTGTAAATTGAAACCTGTCATATGTTTTTTGTTTTTAAATGCGCAAATATTTTATAACATCTAATGATCTTAGTTAGATACCTACATCAGTTTTCTAAAATTTTCTAAAGCATCGGCACAGCAGTTAGTCAGAAATGCGATTCTTAAATTTTTCAGTACAACGAGCAAATAACCAAATGATATTCTACCTGTTAAATATTTCTTTTCCTAGTTCGTATGTTCACCATTGGAAAAAACGTCACAGTTCACACACGTAGGAATGGCAGTAATAATTTTAAAGCTTCCTTTGTCAGCTCTTTTCTAATTATCCTGAAGACATCAATCTTTTGCCGAAGAGTAAACCCTCAGATAAATCACTAAGGTCAAAACGTACGCGTGTTTTCGAAATCCCTTAAATTCGTATGATTTCGGCGAAATCAATTTTGATTTTACTATATGATTTTGGTGATTTCGCCGAAATCATAATTTCCTGTGAATTATCTGTAAATTATCTTCTTGAATATTCAAATGACATTTTTTCGGGATCTCGTTATTTGTTTTTTGGCCAACCTTTTTTTTGGGCTTTTTTCGATTCACTCCTACTGCGTTTTCGGCAATGATACGACGTCTTTGAAATCACTCACATAGTTTGTCCACCGGTTCGCAAGAATTTTATTATTCATTCAATAAGGTTGTTCTATATGATTAGTATAATATTCATGTGTTTTCAAATTTAGAAAGCGCCTTAATAACTAAACCAAATCGATTATTAAATGTTCCAGTCTTCTGTAATAATAATAATAATAATAAATTTTCGGGAAGCTAAAGATAAAATGTTATTAAAATGATGTTGCTTACCGTGAGTGTAGTGCTCGTTTTCTTTGATAACTTTTTCGGCATTTTTTCTTGCGATGAAGAACCATTCCGATGTGTTTCCCAGATAATCGTATTCGACCGACAGATCCTTAACCAAGATATTTCCTTCGGGCAAGCGATAAGCGTAAGGACAAAAAAGCAGATGGTCTTTATACTGGTGTTCGGCGTAACAATTGCCTGCAGCGAAAATGACATCATTGAATTCAACTAAAGAATAAACCATTGAGTAAAATAAATCTTCAGACATGAGTGCTTTCCGATCGGCGTATTTCCATATACGAGTCAGCATGTTTGCTCTGTTGACACAAATATCCGCTTCAACCCTGAACCGTCCTTGAGCGTATCTGTCCACAACTCCTTCACCAAGGTTCAAATCCGTTCCAGCTGTGCAATTCTCTCCTAGTAGGTGTTGAGATTCTACGATTCGTAAAAAACGAGTAACAATATCCGCTTGACCACCACTTTCGGTTCTTCTCCACGATGATTTTTCACCCGAATTATACTCCCTAGACGAGTTAATGTCGTTTGCATTCGAGAACGTTTCCGAAGCCGTCTCATTTTCATCACTATCAACTTTATTGAATATACGTTTTTCTCCCATGTATAAAACAGTTTTGTCAATATGTTGCCAGCTATTATTTGAATGCATGGCAGAGTTCGCCGTATTTACTTTGATATTTATGTTTCCTTCTGACTTCTTGCCAGTTTTATGAGCATTTGGACTTTCAGGGGACAACTTTATAATAATTTGCTCGTCGGTTATCGTTAAAGTCGAATTATTATATATCACGTCGGATGACTCGGTTACGAATTTATTTAAATTAGCTACATTTTCAAAATCGGAAGAAAACTTTTCGATTTTTAAAAAGTGATTTCCGTGTCGCCTATTTCTTATCAATCGTGCTCTTCTGTGTCTTATTTGTAAATCGCTTGGAAATATTTCTCCAGATAATAAGTTGATTAACATTAATATTAATATCACATAATTTAAATTTAACGGAAACATTTTTAACGTTACTTATTGTCAATGCATAAATTTAATATTAATAATTAACAATAATAACAATGATAATGATGATGATAATTAATAATGTATGTAGACGCGAAACTGACGTGAATATTTGAGGTTTACGGCTCTTTGAACAAGTTCATTCTGTCGAAAAAGTTTTGAGAATCACGGAAAACGCGCGCGGTTGTGTGGTAGAACGAAGCATTAGGCGTAGCGGCAAGGGTCGGTTGTCGGTGGAAAACTGAAAACTGAAAACTGACTCCGCTCGGCTCGGGGTAAATGTTGTCGGTCGGTTAGAGAATCCAGATGCGAGCAGGGATACAAAAGCAAAAGCGCGCCACCTAGTCATAAGATGCTGGCGCTCTCGCTGGCCGTGGCAATGCCATCCGGCGACGGCGTAACCGTCACCACGTCAGCTCCAGCGCCAGCGCAAACCTTTACTTTCCTCTTCTTTCACTCATCCTTCATCATTCATCCGTATCATTCCTATTCGCATGCTTTTCAAAATAATGTCAAAACATACTCATATCAAAGATTACCAAGATGAGACACTAAAGTAGTGTGCACAATGTGATCCGTATATAATTGTATCTCAGGATGAATACTGTTTTTGATGTAATAGAAAAGCTCCCAAAAAAATTAAATAGAAAAATCCCCTAATTGAACAAATATATCAATGCATTGGTTCGCAAACCTATGTCACAAGTTCTTTTCAGCAGACAATAAAACCGAACTGAATTTGAAAATTCCAAGACTCCGTTAGTGGATAATTTGATTTGTAATGTTCAGGTAATTAGTATATCCTAAAAGTTTTTAATACTTTTATGTCAAATTATTTTATTTATACAGTAAACAAATATAGACACAAAAATAAAAAAATATTAAAAATTAAAAAGGAAAATATTTGCGAAATAAGTGGTTTACGCCAAATTTGTCAAAAAGAATTGACGAAAAGAATAGTTAAATATTATAAAGCTACAATTAATAATTCTTACGATATGGAATTAAATAGTAATTATTTAAAACAACACACAAAAATGTAATTAACGTATCAAAAAATATCAAAATCGGCGGGCGTAATTTCGGCCGGTAATCCCATCGCCTACCTGCCAAAAGCAAAGTGCCCATCTAATGGCATAGGTAATTTCGGCCGAGGGTAATGTTTATGATAGGATTTTGGAATATACCTGAAAATAATGATCTACCCTTTTCATATTTCCATTTCTTAGAAAAGTTAAAACATTTACATTCATCTTTCTTAATTTGATTTTCATTAGTTTAATAATGTGATTACCTAATTACAAAGTACCGGACCTTTTAATATTAAGATACTAACCACTTATTTTGTGGGCGACCAAGAGATAGAAAACATCTATATTACATGATGGCAGTTTCGATAGTAAAGAGTTCACGCGGTTGTGACTTGCTTATTGTAGAAAAATTATCATTTTGTAAACAAGACGTATTAAAGAGTGGGGAAGTGCGTTGGAGGTGCATCAGGAAAAATTTAAAATGTTTAGCTAAATTGTATACTGTTGGTACCGAATATATTGTGACCAGGAGTGAGTTAACTCACAATCATGAACCAGATCAACGTTCTTTGCAGAGAAAAATTGTCACAAATGCATGTAAGCGAAAAGCCCAGGAGGACATATCGGAGAAACCTTCGAAAATTATAAAAAGGGTCCTTTCAACAAATTTACCGGACGAATTGATTACCGCGGATGTAAATCTCATAAGAAGAAATGTGTATAACAGTTGTCGTCAGCTCTTGCCAGCCCTGCCTAAAGATATTCATGAAGTACATACTGTAGTTGATATGTATTCTCCTAAAACAACAACAGGTGAAAATTTTTTGTTTATTAACAGTTCAGTTGATAATATCATTGTTTTTTCTTGCCAAACAAATATTACTACGTTGTGTAAAATGAATGTTATATATAGGGTTTCCCAATAAGAACGCGCGATCTTTGGCAACAGCGCACTGCAAGGTCGAAAGTCACACACGCTTTATCTTTGCCAGGAGTATTCAGTTAGCCTTGACATTTAATATGGAGAGGTATACAATTGAACAACGTGTCGAAATCGTCAAAATTTATTACCAAAACCAATGTTCTGTTCGGCAAACGTTCCGCATACTTCGTCAAGTTTATGGTATCCATGATCGTCCTACCGAGTCCTCAATTCGTCGTTTAATGTAGAAATTTGAAGAAAGTGGTTTAGTGGCAGATCGACCAACGCCTGTACGCCAACGGAGAGTGAGATCCGTTAAAAATATTGCTGCCGTTCGGGAAAGTGTGCATGAGAATCCGAGACAGTCTATTCCGCGTCGTGCTCAAGAGTTTGGACTTTCGCGGATGTCAACCTGGCGAATTCTGCATTATGACTTACACCTTCACCCATATAAGGTGCAGTTGACTTACGAATTAAAGCCCAATGATCATTGACTGCGGCGTGAATTCGCTAACTGGGCGCTAGAACACTTGGAGGGTGACCATGATTTCGGGAAAAAAATAATCTTTAGTGACGAGGCGCATTTCTGGTTGAGTGGCTTCGTTAACAAGCAGAACTGCAGAATTTTGGGCGACGAAAACCCGCGGAAGATTCACCAAGTGCCACTTCATTCCGCAAAAGTAACCGTATGGTGTGCATTATGGTCCGGCGGAATAATTGGTCCTTATTTTTTCGAAAATGAAGAAGCAGTTGCACTTACTGTCGACGGTGAGCGATATAGAGCTATGATAAGAACATTTTTGTGGCCTATAGTGGGTGGTATGAATCTGAGAAACACGTGGTTCCAACAAGATGGAGCAACCTGCCATACTGCACACGCTACAGTTGCATTATTGCATGAGCAATTCGAGGGGTCTGTTATATCGCGAAATGGCGACGTCAACTGGCCGCCCAGATCATGCGATTTAACTCCGCTGGATTTTTTGCTCTGGGGTTTCCTTAAATTTCGTGTCTATGCCGATAAACCACGAACTGTTGACGCCCTTAAAGCCAACATCAGACGCGAAATTGCTGCGATTGAGCCACATCTGTGTAATGAGGTTATCGAAAACTGGACTCTTAGAATTCGACTCACCAGGGAAAGCCGCGGCGGACATTTAAGTGACATAATTTTTAAAACATAGTGTCACCATATATGTTTTAAAATAAATATTAAATTATCTTCGTTTTATTGAAACTTTTTATTTTATTACACTTTGAAGTTGGAGCGTTCTTATTGGGAAACCCTTTATATGGATGGCACATTTTCTTTTTGTACGAAATATTTTTATCAATTATTTACCATTCATGGCCTGGAAAATGGGCACTATATACCTCTTTTATATTGTCTGTTACCAAATAAGACTGCTGACACATATATTAAAATTTTTCTGTTGCTTAAATCTAAAATTTTGGAAGTTTTTAATATAGTTTTTGAACCGATGGAGGCATTCGTAGATTTTGAAATATTAATACATATCGCACTAAGAAATGTTTTGTCAGAAACGAAAATAAATGGTTGTAGATTTCACTTACATCAAGCGTGGTACAGGAAAATTCAGTCTTTAGGGTTAAGTCAAATATATAAAGACAAAAACTCTGAAGAAAGTAAATGGCTTATGCACACTTTTGGGCTTACTTATTTAGAACCATCTGATGTTGAGGATTGTTTTATATTTGATTTAATGTCTTGCAAACCAAATAATGAACTGTTGGATAAATACGCAGACTATCTATTACAATATTATATAGCACCTGATTTCGATTTTCCACCAAATATATGGGCAGACGAAAATCCATCTAGAAAACGAACCACAAACGCTTGTGAATCGTTCCATTCTAAATTGAATTCTTCACTTTATTCTTGCCACCCTTCAATATTTATTTTTATAGAAAAGTTAAAAGAATTCCAGATCGATTCATATTTAAAAATAAAAAGTTTAAATATTACAGCAAAAATAAAAGACAAGCAAGTCAGAAATAAATTAAAATTTATTGAAAATAAGGTAAATATGCTTCGGTCTGGAAAAATTTCAAGATTTAATTTTGTTAAAACTGTATCGTATCAAAGTTCGTAAAAATGTAATGTATGTTTTTAGCTCTAGTTTTTAAGTAATAGTGTCTTTGATTTCGATTTAATAAAGAATGTTATAGCAATTCTAGATCTTATTTTATTTTACCTGCTCCTTCCGGCCGAAAATACCTATACGATAAGAACGAATCCTTAAACCTCCGGCCGAAATTACATATCCCCTTTAGGTACCTGTCCTTTTTCCGGCCGAAATTACATCCGCCCATCAAAATAACATTGAACAAAATAAAAATAAATTGCTAAAAATGTCAATAAATATTTTAGTAACAATGGTAAAATACTAGAATACCTCAAATAAAAGATATTGAAGAGAATTTTAGAGATATTTGATTTCAATGTTTCTACATCCTGCAACAGAATCTGAACTAATTGTTAAAAAGTCACCAGGACATGATAAAACATATGTGAAGAAGTTTTAACAACTTTGACTTACTTAATTATTAATTGCATGGTTGCAGTTTTTTTTTTTTCAAAATGATTTTAGTAGATATTGTAACGTTTATTCATTTTAAACAGTTTATTATTTAATTTATGTTCACTATTTGCTATAATATATTTTTTCTAATTTTAACATATAAAGTGACATTTTTTTGTAATCGCAGCAAGTGTCACAATGCCCTACTTTACGCAACCAGTTGCATAATGTTGATCATTGTGAAACTGGTTTTAAAAAATTCAATATGTCACCAGTTGCGAAAATAAAACAAACAAAAATTAACCTTTTTGGTTTTAAAATCAATCATATACATTTTTATTGAAAGTTTATATCAAAGAACGGCAGGTTGACTAATAAAAATAAAATTTGGTTAAACTAAAAACCTTTCAATAATGTTGTTTTGGTACTTATTTTCCATTCTAAATCAGCACAAAATAATTAATCCACAATACACAAAAAAATAGCCCACTTTCTTGC